AACAAGGAGAGAAAAAAACGTTGAAATGAAAGGATATTCACTTGATTCGATTTGTTGCTAGCTTTTCCAGCTTACCAAGCTATCTAAACTGACCTCTTGACACATGACCACAATTATAAATCCAACAAAAATTAAAACGTCAACTAAATAGGCTCAGTATTTCCAGGTGACAAAAGATCTCAAATGTGTCAGGAAGCCATCTCCCCAGCAGAAACACTAGAAAAATAACCAGGTTTTGAATTTAACAAGAAGTTCCATGAAACAGCTGGGCAGCAGGAAGGTTGGGTCTTCTCCTTTAATTATGCCCTGACTAGATTGTAATCACAAGAGCTTCATAGACACAAATGCAGCACATTGAGGTGATGCTGGAAAATATCACAACTCAGCTGAGGCGGTCTGTGGAGCACAGCTGTACCACTGCCCTGGTCACAGCAGTGTCTGGTACCACCCACCATCTCCAGGCAGGGCTCTGCAGCCCCAGCCCTGCCTGGCTGCTGTCACTCACACACCGAGGCACAGAGGAATCTTCCTGGCACTGTGCTCAGTACAGGACAGAGCTTTGGCTGAAAAGGTGGAAGGGATTTTTATTTATTTTTTTATTTTTTAATGTTAAAACAGTTTTTACTGTATTAAAAGTGAGATTCCAAAGGGAGGTTTTTTTTCTAAAAATAGCTTTACCACTAAGAAATGAAAATGTGTTGTGAATGAAAAAAATAACTACTAAAAAAACTGGGAAAGAAATCATGAAATATTTAAGCTTTTTATCTTTGGATGTAGAATATAAATAACTTTGTCTAAATTTTGTAAAAAACTTATTAAACTGCCTGATTCAGGTTTATCTGGGCTGGATTCAGTTTTGCCACCAAACGAAAAAGCTGTTATACATCATACTTGTGTCTAGCTGTTTTAAATGGACACTCAGGGTATTAGTTAAGGACAACCCAAAAGTAGCATTTCAGTAATTTGATTTTGGAAAGACAGAAAAAAAGTAATTGCAATGAAGCCCATAGCTGAAAGAAAAGAGAAGAAAAAAAAAATCTTCTTTGCCAAGTGGAAATTGGAATAAATGTTCTTGGCTACTGCTGCATCCTGAAAAGCCAGAATGTGCCTGAGGCTTCCCAGCAAACCTAGTTTAGAAGCCTCCTCAGCTGATATCTCATTTCTTCTAAGTAGTTGCCTTATCCAGTCAAGTTAAAAATTCAGGATCCAACTCTCTGTGAGAAATTGGGAAGATAGATACATTGTACATGTGAAGAAGGACATCCAGAGAATTGTCTTTGCCTAAAGTAAACACTGGGGAAACACCACCTTTGTCATTTCAGGGGGAGGCTGATCTCACAGAGCATCCATCCCAGCAGCAGGTCTGGTCTGCACATGGGCTGTGACACAAAGGGCTGCTGGAGATCACAGAGCCACAACACCTCTGTGCATCACCAGAGGAAAATCTGTGATCTTCATCCTGCTCCCACCACCTTCTTTCATGCATCTACAGCCTTTAAAAGGTGCAAAAAAATTCTGAGCTATCTAGATAGCAGCAAATCTTCCTTAAGGAATTTTTAATTAATATTTTCCACAGGGAAGATGGAAACAAGAAGGTAATTGTTATGAATGTGGGAAAGGCATCAAAGAGGTGTTTAACTGAGGACAGACCTAAGCACAGCCTGGGGAAAAGTTGACACATTGTTCTCTTAAAGGTAAAGACTAGACCTGGTTTTCTCACTAGGTTTTTGACAATTACTAAGTCATAAAAACACATTATGCACTCTTTACATGTAGAGACTCAAAACATTCAGTTTTGGTCAGAAAAGTGACTATGAAAATGTCATCTTGTTTCTTCACTCACCTGTTCCCTTAAGTCCCTGCTCTCTTGTCAAAATATATGCATTTTACTCACTAATGTTAATGGGAGCCCCATATGCCAAGCAGAGAAGATTGGCCTCTTAAGCTTTACCTATTTGCCTGCTAATAAAACACACTTTTTATCCCAAATAAGCAAGGGAAAGCCAACACAGGTGCACCACAGTAATATGCATTATGCTTTGCCTCATGCTGTGCTACCACTGGTGAAGCTTTATTCTCATTCCAGAACATGTACATTTGGTGAAGGTTAGTGATGAAGTACAGTACAGGTCATAAACAACTGAGCTTCATTTTCCACAACTAGACGGAGCAGCAGGCACTTAGGAAAAAAATTATGCTAGCTTGTAAATGGAACAGTTTAATATGGAAGTAACTGATGGCAAATAAACACAAAATGCCAAGGCATCTTCTCTGTCACTTAGCTATGCTTACATTTCTTTAGAAATCAAATCTAGTAAACTAGAATTTATTCCATCTTACCAAAGAAATCACTTTAGAATGTGAAATATACTGCTAAGAAGGGAAACTGTGCTTTTTCCTGGCAAAAACCTACCCTACAGGCAGTGCATCCACATGGTCTGAATAGTGCACTCATGGCCAAGATTTTCCAGCCATGTGCTGGAAACACTCTGAATTCTCATCATTTGACGTAGTAATCTGTGTGGTAACACCTTCTCAAAACAGCAGAGCTTAAATGAAATTAATGGCAATACATCTCCTTGTCTTGTTTCGTCACTTACTCCCAAGTGCAGAGGTTATTTCTCCAAATGTGTGATGCTTTCAACAGGTTGTTGACCAACCACCTCTGTTTTAAATGATACAAACGTTCTTGTTACCTACTGCAGCTAGTGGTGCTTGAACCCGCTCTACTAGAAACTAAGGCTTCATTTTTTGAGTTCCTGCAGCAAAAAAAATATTAATTTCTTAAGGACTCCCACTGACAGGTCAATGCAATCTCAGTGCTGCATCAGCAGCAGACTCAAGTCTTTTATGAGTAGATGTGAGGCTTAGCCATAGAAATCTCTGTGGAGTTCTGGGAAGCACAGAGTCCAAACAAAATCGTGTTGAAACTGGAGAAACAATTGAAAAGACACATTTTTACTTTAAGTGTGATTTCTGGGTAGAAGAACAGCAGTGAAGCAGCATCCCAGGGAGACTACATCATCTCCACTCTTGAAGGTTCACCAGAGCAGACCAGACAAAACTCTGAGTAACTTGGTCTGGCCTCATGGGTGACCCTGCCTTCAGGAGGAGGTCAGACCTAGGTCTCCTGCAGTGAAAGACCTTCCAACCAAGGAAGGACTGTCTGGAGTGAAAATGGGTTTCTTCTTGGGGTGGGGGGGGTGACTCCCCCCCTGACTTACCTCACTGTCCTAAGTGCCATTGTAAAATGAGTATGAGGCCTTGGAATCTGAGAAGCAGCAAAATGAGGTCCGGGTTAATGTGTACATGGATGAAGGTTCTTCCAAGATGGAGGTGTCACCTAGGGCTGGGGAGCCTACCCCCTGCACCAAAACTTCCTCCATGAAGAGAAAAAGAAAGGCAGGAGCCATTGGTGACTCTCTTTTGAGGGGAATGGAGGGCCCAATACACCGAGCAGACCCATCCCACAGGGACCTGCATTGCCTCCCTGGGGCCTGTGCAAGAGACATCACCCAGAAACTTCCCAGCCTGGTACCACCCATGGATTATTACCCTCTGCTGGCTTTCCAGGTAGGCAGTGACAAGGTCCCAACAAGAAGCTGGTTCATTTCTGTCCCTCCATTGGCAGGGAACAATGGAGCAAGAGAGACATGGAGCCCCTGGAGCAGGTCTGGTAGAGCTTGACGAAGAGCAGGGACTGGAGCACATCACAAAGAAAGACTGAGGGAGCTGGGGCTGTTCATCTGAGAAGAGACAACTGAGAGGGAATCATATCAATGACTATCAGTCTCTGCAGAGAGGTGTCAGAGGATGGACCAGGCTCTGCTCAGGGGTCCTGAGCAACAGGACAAGAGGCAATGGGCAAGAACTGATACGCAGGAAGCTCCACCTAAATATGAAGAACTTCTTTACTGTGAGGTGACCAAGCACTGAAACAGATTGCCTTCCAGTCTCCCCCCACTGGAGGAATTCCAGAACTCTCTGGACTAAATCATGTGCAGTGTGCTCTACAGTGACCCTGTCTGAGCAGGGAGATTGGACCAGACAACCCCCTGCAGTCCTTTCCAGCCTTACCCATTCTGTGATTCTGTGTTTCGTGAGGTCTCACTCAAAATCATACCACCATCTACAGCCAGCCACAAGTCAAAAAAGATTCTCTCTGCCCCTTGTCTGAGCACATGGCATTTTGGTACACTCACAGGCCTCTTGGTAATCCCTCTCTTAAACTCTGTTCTCACCCATCAGACAAAACCCCACACACTCCTTTGTTACTTTCCACAGTTCTCCTTTCCTAGGAGCCTGTAGGGTACAAACCTACAAGCCTTAGTCTCACTGGTCTTTCTCAGTGGTTTGTCAGAACAGAGACTGCTCTGCAGGGAACAGCAACAAACACCTCTGATGCTCAGATTAGCATACTGCATTCACTGCTATTTATATCCTCTAACTTGATACCTATGGCTCAGTGAACTTGTCCAAAACATCTCCCTGGTTTATGAGTGTGAATTTAGTTTTTATGTTTACTGACTGCTAATGAAGCATCTTCCTGCATTAAACCTGCATAAAACTAGGTACCTACTGTAAAATATTCCTTCCTACTGCCTATTGTCAATTACAAAGGGAATTACGATGTGGAAACCATTGATAAAGGCCAAGAGGAGATGCTCACTATTCTCTTGATGTTTCAGACTGAATTTAGTTGCAGCCAGAGGTCAAAACATGGCCCAGTACAAGAAAGAAATCCTTCTTGGTCAAATCAGTAAGGACCCTTGAAATCAGGATGGAGCTGGACTTAGCAGATCTGAGCAAAGTGCCATGTAGCACCAGTGCCCAGACATGCCATGGCATTGCCTCTACTCATCATCCCCTATGCACTGTTCCCAGTTTCTGAGTGTGCCTTGTGAAAGGAGAACAAGCATAGAAACCCTTGCTGGTTTACAGTGCCTCCAGCTTAAGCCTTGCCACGTAGCAAAATAAGCCAAACAGCTCCCCATACATACCTCAGCTGAGTTAATTCTTCTGCTTTGGAAGTGGAGGAGACAGCACTTGCACATTTTCCCATGTGCAGAGCCAGTCTGTGGGCTTGGAGGAGATACAGGGCCTAGGGAAGGAGCTCTCATTCCTTCTTACTCTGCCATGAGAGTGAAAAGACCAAACTGCAGTTCACTTTTCCACTACTGCAGGTCTGTGGAAAGGGCAAAATAGCAAATGAGTTTTGACATAACAACCTTAAATTGGTGATGGAAACGCTGGCTAGCACATCCATAGCTGAATGTAGTTATTTTTTTCAATGTGACAAATTATACTACAATTGTATATGATCTATATTCCTGGCCTTTAAATCAAAGGTAATCTATGGCTTTTAAGATTTCAGTTTATCCTTAAACAATATACGTGTCTGTCCACAGCAGACACAGCTGTATCAGAGGGGAGAACATTCAAAATTTGAGGAAGAATGGCTCCATCTAAATGCCTACCTGTAACTGAGAAATTAGCTTTCTTCCCTAGAGAAAAAACAGGTTGAGGTTAATTAGGTGATTGTTTAACAATACACGCAAAGTTTCTATTGTGAAACATTATTTTATAGCAAAATATATGCACATCCCTACCTTGGCAGAACCTGATAAAAAATGAAGGAGAGTATAGTACATACCGTCAAATGGATGACAACTTCATATAACTTCTTCTGAGAGAAAGCAGCCTGTTGTTTACTGCATTTATCGACAATCTGTGAAAGTAGACCAGGAATCAGTCTAATTACCAGAGTGCCAGTTGTGCTTGTTAACACCAGCTTTGTGACCAAATGTTATTCCACAGTTGTCACATCACAAGAAGGTTTCATTACTAACATAATAGTGAACAAGATCACATGCCTGGCTATTGATTGATCTGCCACACAAAGGAAGGACGTTTGTTGTCTCTATTATAACCAGTTACATCTTTGTCTGCCTGTGTATTATGCACAGGAATGTATCACAAGCAGTTGCTGCAGTGTTTCTTAGTTTCTGCCTGTTACTCCATTAACAGCCCACTAGGATTTGCAGACTTTACCAACAGTGAAGAAATAACCTTGTCATAATTTCTCTTTCACAAACTTCAAAAAATTGTTTCCATCAACCTTTCTGCAGTCCTATAAGGACTGAGGCTTACTCAACATTTGCATTATAAATATATAATTTCTGCCGAATCAAAAGCTATTTTAATTCTTTCCAGACACAATTGGGTAACACAGCAGGAACAGTAGAAATATTCATCATTACTGCAGTTGAATGGCCCTGAAAGAACTGTATCTTAGACCAGAGAAATGCTCTGCTAACAAGCACTCCAGACAAAATGAACTAAGACTGACCCTCAGAGCATCAAGATATTACTTGCCTGACCAGTCATAAATGCAAACAGCAGCTTTCAGGCCTGTTGCTGATATGAAAAGTGAACAGTCTTGTTTATTTTTCTATGAACTCAATAAATATTACAATACAAAAGTGGATTTGTTTATCATTGTGAGCCTACAGAAAAACAAGCATGCCTCATCATCTTATCTGATGATGAATGATTTATCAGGCAGAACATGAATCTGCTTCTGAGTCTATTTTCCTGTTTATGCTTGTTGAACAGATACAATTTAATGAAGAATATAAAGTACTTAAAATCTGTCTACCATTAATAGTTTAATTAAACTGACATGTACTTCAAAAACAGAGAGACAGAAAACATTAATTTTGGTTATAAAGGGCATGGCATTATTAAAGTGCAATTAAAAGCAACATTCACTTACAATTAATAGCTAAAACAATTTAATTATTTAACATTTAATTGTCAGTTCTGGCTAACTTAGCCACCTCAAGATAGGTGTGTTCTCTGGGCCTCATGTGAAGTATGTTACATGGCAGAGACCCAAGCAGGAGTTGCTCCTGAGCAGTATCTCAGTGTAAATGCCCTGACAAAGACCTCACGGTGCCATTGGTGGCTCCTCCCGTGCCCTCGAGGCGCCGGTTCCCAAAGGATCCTTCATGAACCCCTTCCACTGGGGCAGCTAACAGCCTCTGCTGAGGCTGCTGCAAAGTCCAGCTGCTGAGCTGGCTCCTGCCTTTGTGATCACCTTCACTGGTAAAAGCACTCATCCAGGTGTGGATGCTCACTCTGAAACAGAGAGCATGTGAAACTGCAGGCCACATAGCTTTCTCAGTCTTGCCTGAGGAAGTGGCCTGAGAATTCATGGGGAGGATTTAAAATAATCCTCAGAGACAGAAAACAGCCTTGCAGGTGCTGTTTGTCTGTTCCTTGTTTTCTTTGCAGGAGAAGGTCGAGAGGTGGTGAGCCCCAGTGACCAATGATGGTGATGTGTTAGTTTACTAGCCAATAAGAGTTTCTTTTCTGTACTTTCACATATCGGTCTATAAAAAAGATCTGAAGCAATAAACTAAGAAAAATTCTCCTGATTGACTCCTAGAGACTCTGTGTCGTTCTTCTCGCTGTTCTTAATAGAGCAACATCCAGGCCCCTTGGACATACTGAAGAACCTGTGCTCTTCCTAAACTTCGTATCTCAGCTCTCTCCTTCTGTCCCACTTGACTGAAATCGATCAACTGGCTCAGCAATTATTTGATGGAAGGCATTGAAAGAGAGGAGCAAAGAAAAGAAGTTCACACACACAGGTCTCATTTTGCTTGGAAACAGGACAAAAAACCCTCTCCTGACAATTTCAAAGTTAAAATCCAAAGATGCAAAGCGAGAGTCTGACAAAGACCTCTTTTAAGATGACTTTTCAGAAGCATAAATCCTTTTTGAACAAAGTAGCAATGGAAATGTCCCTGAAATTCAACCTACATTTTTTTTTAAAGAACATAGCAAAAAACAAGTTTAGAAATTTCATCTGAATTTTAGTTTCAGAAGAAAATACAGACTTAAAACACAGGATTAGTCTGAAAACGTGAATTCTGTTCAACAAGAAATTTCAGTTCTTCCAGAGATATGTTGAGAAGTCAGATTTTTGAAGCTTTGCACCAAAAGTGAGACAGACCTGTCCCTGCAGGCTCCCCACTGCAGAGACATCTGTCTGTGAAGGGAGTGAGTGTGCCTGGGTTACACTGCTAGACAAGCACAGGACACCAGGCAGCCAGCATTTCTGGGATCCAGCTGGGAGAAAGTTTGCTTTCTAGGATTTTCTTTTGAAATACAATTTAATGAAACAATTCCCAAGAAGCATTGTCCTCATTGCAGTTGAAGAAAAGCTGCTAGTTTTCTTCATGTGGGCAGCATGTCCTGGAGAGTTCCGGGGCTCTCAGCAGAACTTCACAGGTCTCAAAAGTTTACTGCTACAAGGAAATTGCAGGATTAATATCCTACCAAGCCCACCTATTCCTGAACATAGCCTGGAGTAGATGTTATTTCAGGACTATTTCACTAGTTCCTATAACTTTGATTTACTCATTTCTGTATAAATTGAGGTGTGTGGAGTGGCTGCAACTGCTCCCATAAACCCAAAAGAAGACCCAGTCCTCTGTTACCTCCTCATATGGAAAGGAGGGGAAAACACAGTAACACAGTTAAAATGTTCACAAAAGGTTTTCTTTGTGCCTTTTTTCCAGTCCAGAGAGTGCCATCACCTTTGTCCCACCACCTGATGGTTGCTGACTCCCTGCTGAAGTCCAGGTAAAGAAGAAATGCTTCTGCCCAGGCTGCAGGTGGCTGAGCCAAGAGACGTGTGCTCTGGCTGTGTCTGCCTTGCAGGGACAGCTTCCACATCTGGGGCTGACACCAGGGCTCCAAACCTCTGCACTGTGCTGCGAGGAGGGCACCTGGGCTTCCCCTGGCACATGAAGGAACCTCGTTTTCCTCAAGCTGGTTGAGGAAAATCTGGTTTTATTCATGATTCCATAGAGAGCATTTTATCGACAAAAATCTTTTTTCACTGCACCTGTAAGCAATGTATAAAAATTAGAATAAAATTAATCAGTACAAAATTATATATTCCTACACTTCAGTTCCTCCATGGAAAAAGAATACTTTCCTTAATTTTAATCTCTGTTAAATTTAACACTTAAATTTCTCTGTGGAGAAATTTAAGAGAATGGTGAAATGGCAAAGAGTGGGATTTAGTAGGATCATTAAAAAATGAAACATAAACAGTGTCTCTCTTTACCTTTTTTCCTCTAAAGAGCATTATAATAATATATTTATTTTCAATGCAGTCATTAAGACAGCCAGCTTCTCTTAAAAACACCTGCACTGACACATCTTAAGGTTTGAATTCAGTTATCCTCAAAGTTATCCTCAAAAGAGTAAATAGAATCATAAATGGTCAGAGTTAAAGCACTTCAGCTGAACAGAAGACATTATTATGGGAATGGGTGTCCATTTGAAGGTTTTGTGAGGAATTTAGCAACTGAAGCATTGTGGAGTTTTTTCTGGGGTACCTCACTGCAAAGTGATGAGCTCTTTCCCATGAGCAAAGCACAGAAGGGTGGCTGCTAAGCAGTTTAAGGCTTTTAAGGGCTTTAGCTCTGCCAAACCACATTAAAACTTTGTTCACACTCTTTTCAATATCTGTAACTAAGATTTAATTGCAGTGTAATACAGACCACCAGATTATTCAGAATAGAGGATAAAGTAAATGAAGAGATGTGGACAGCCTGTACACCACTGCATATAAGGCACTGAAACCCCTTGTGCCTGCACCAATCTTCTGTGCTTGCATGGGGATTTCTACCAGACTGGTACAGCCACACCAGCAATCAGATGTTTGCATATATAGACCAAAACAGCAGGCAATTACTGAGCTGCATTTTATTCATGGTTTATTCACTGTTATGTGACTGATGCAGCCTGGAAAGACAAACATCTTATGAACTAGTGTATTAATTGACCATGAGTTTCAATGTTTTCTTTGAAGACAGAATGTTGTCTATCATTTCATATTTTTAAAGTCTATATATCAAACCTTACCCTATTAAGAATATTTTTTTCATATTTTCATGCAATTTTTTGTAATTTTTTGATGTGCAAAATACACATTCAAATACTGTAATCTTTAATTCAAGGTTTTGCAGGTAAAATTTGTCTAAAGCATTTCTGACATGTAACTATTAAGAAAAAAACCTACCAAAGTGTGTGGCTGTCTACGTGGCTTTCCAAATGAAATCAAGGCATTAGACACAGACTTTATTATTATTGTGCTTAAATTAAGCTTGAAATGCCATGCAACTGAAATAAAAATCAGAAGCAGAACAGGGTATTGTTTGGTTTCTGAATACTAAATGCAATCAAAAGGTAATAGTACTTATAGATTTTTCACATACAAACAGATTTATAAAACTGATAAAAAACATTTGCTCACTGAACTTCAGGAATCTGGGTGGCTTCTGTGAACAGTCAAATGAGTTAACTCAGGAAGCTTCTCTGTTTCAGTGCTACAGATACAGAATTTATATTTAAAGGGGTACTTTTTAAAAAACCAGTAACTTTACCATTAATGTAACTTAAGATAATGAGACAAAATATAGTATTAAAAAGAAACCAGGTTCAGTGTTCACAGATAAAAAAAATGGGAAATCAGCAATTTTCATTGTGTTGCTAATAAATTTTACTTTCACATTTGCATACATAAGAATTTATTCACAAATCCTGAAGGCAGAAATAATTCACCAATTTTTTCTTTATATATTTCTATTTCATGATTTTATGAAAATGTTTCTATTAATTTGAAGTTCTCAAGGAGCTACTTTCAGT